ACGCTTTGAACAAAAACTACGCGCACATTCGTTCATCAAACGAAGCGCACACGCGCGCGTCGTCGCGCATGCCGAAATCCTTCAAAAAACCTTCGGTCTCGAAAGGATGCTAACGACGAGTGTCAAAGAAACATGTTGCATATTAAAGAATGGTTTCGCAACACGAATTATCAACAAAAACTGCGAGCTCTTGCGAGTTCATAAGAAAACCTTGCATTGTTCGACATGCTCAGAAAATATAACCACACGGGCTTCGCGCGCGCATGTCGGAATCGTTCGAACGCCCTTGCGCGCACGCCGTCGCGAGAATCTTCTGCACAAAACGAGACGAAGTGCACGCGCGCGCGTCGTCGCGCGCGCACGCCGAAATACTTCAAAAAACCGTCGGTTTCGGAAGGGATTCAAAAAAGGGTGCCCAAAAAACGACAAAAAATAGCAACAACCAAATCGCAACATTGAATTTCAACAAAATCGCGCGCGCCCTTGCGAATTCTTAAGAAGACCTTGCGTTAATCAACCTGTTCATAAAATGCTAGCACACTGGCTTCGCGCGCGCGCATGTCGAAATCGTTCGAACGCCCTTGCGCGCGTGCTGGGATGGCACGATCCGTGTCGAAGAATACCATGAGAGCCACTCTCGCGCGTCTGCCGCGCGCGCATGTCGAATTCCTTCCAAAACCTTCATCACCGACGCGAAGACGCCGTCATCGTCGTCGACGCGATCAGCATCGGCGCCGCACTGGCTGCCCCGTCGTCGCTGTCAGCATCGCCACCAGCATCGCTACTATCATCATCGTGTCTACCGTTGTCGACGTTGCCATGATACCGCGCCCGCCCAAGTCGCCGACTCGCACGGAAGTGCCCGCTGGGATGTGCCGAGCGGTCAGCGCCACCACGTTCGCGTCGGGCGCGCCGAATTTGCTGGCCGCTGCGCGCGCGAGCATGCGCGGGTTCGCGCGGCCGCAGAGATGCACCAGCCAACACGAAGTACTCATCGCAGTCGTTTCCGCATGGGTTTGCAAACCAAGTTGCGGGTGGGCGGGTGGGATGTTTGCGCGGGCAGCGGGGCGGACAACAGGATTGCACCATATATACATATATATATATATATTCCCTTTTTCTAAAAACAAAATAGGATCTACCCCCACCCCGGCGTTATCGGTCCCCCTTTTCGGGTATGTAAATCATGTATGATTCTGACCACATGTCCATCCTCAATATGAAATCACAATGTCCCAAGCCAGCCAGTATCCCCCCCCCTGAGGTTCCTTTGCAAAAAAACACTGTGCGGTGGCATTTCTTGTTCTAACATTACACTGTTTCACGAATCCCTTGCAAAAAACGGGACGAAGTGCACACGCGCGCGTCGTCGCGCGCGCATGCCGAAATCCTTCAAAAACTCTTGGTGCCGGAAGGATTTCGCAATCGAGCTTCCCCACACAAACATACAAAAACAGAGGGTTTCGCAACAGTGGCTTGCTAAAAAAACTTCCGCGCGAGTTCTTGCGAAATCTTAAGAAAACCATGGGTTTTTCAAGATTTTCACCAAATGCTACCAAACGGGCTTCGCGCGCGCGCATGTCGAAATCTGTCGGACGCCCTTGCGCGTGTGCCGTCGCGAGAACCTTCTGCAAAAAAACGGGACGAAGTGCAGACGCGCGCGTCGTCGCGCGCGTATGCCGAAATCCTTGAAAACCCATCGGTTTCGGAACGATTTCAAAATCGTGTGCCCAAAAAACCAACAAACACACACAAGGTTTCGCAACACAGATGTGCTAATAAAGCTTCCGCGCGAGCTCTTGCGAAATCTCAAGAAAACCAAAGGTTTTTCAAGATTTTCACAAAATGCTACCAAACGGGCTTCGCGCGCGCATGTCGAAATCTGTCGAACGCCCTTGCGCGTGTGCCGTCGCGAGAATCTTCTGCAAAAAAACGGGACGAAGTGCAGACGCGCGCGTCGTCGCGCGCGTATGCCGAAAACCTTCAAAACCCATCGGTTTCGGAAGGATTCCAAAATCGTGTGTCCAAAAATCTACACATCCACAAGGTTTCGCAACACGCATTTTCAACAAAAGCGTGCGCGCGCGCTCTTGCGTCGTCGTCGTCGTCGCCGTCCTCCCTCCTCCGGCGTCGTCGTCGTCGTCGCCTACGTCGTCCTCTGTGTTTCCTCGTGTTCGTCGTCGTCGTCCTCTTTGACGTCGTGGTCGTTTCCGTCGTCGTTGTCGCCGTGGTCGTCCTTCCTCCTCCTCCCTCGTCGTCGTCGTCCGTCGTCGGCGTCTCGTCGTCGTCCCTCCTATTTCGTCGCCGTCGTCGTCGTCGTCGTCGTCGTCGTCGTCTTCCCTCCTTCCTCGTCGTTGCCGTCGTCGGCGTCGCCGTCCTTCCTCCTTCTTCGTCGTTCGCGTCGTCGCCGTCCTCCCTCCTCCCTTGTCGTTGTCGTCGTTATCGTCGTTGTCGCCGTCGTCGTCCTTCCTCCCTCGTCGTCTTCGTTGGCGACGTCGTCGTCGTCTTCGTCGTCGGCGTCGGCGTCGGCGTCGTTGTCGTCTTCGTCGTCGTCGACGTCGGCGTCGTCGTCGTCGCCGCCGTCGTCGCCGTCGTCGTCCTCGGCGTCGTTGACGTCGTCGTCGTCGGTGTCGTCGTCATCGTCGTCGTCGGCGTCATCGTCGTCGTCGTTGTCATCGTCGTCGTCGTCGTTGGCGTCGGCGTCGTCGTCGTCGTCGGTGTCGTCGTCGTCGTTGTCGGCGTCGTCGAAGTCGTTGGAGACGTCGTCGGTGTCGTCGGCGTCGCTGTTGTTGCCAAGTGCCATTTGGTACCCACCGTCACGGTCTTAAGAGAATTTGCAAACCAAGTTGCGGGTGGGTGGGTGGGATGTTTGCGCGAGCAGTGGAGTGGACAATTCACTGCGAACAGAAATTAAAAAACATAATAGGATCTACCCCCCCCCCGGCGTTATCGGTTCCCCTTTCGGGTATGTAAATCATATATGATTCTGACCATATGTCCATCCTAAATATGAACTCACAATGTCCCAGGCCTGCCGGTATCCCCCTGAGGTTCCTTTGTAAAAAGCACTATGCGGTGACATTTGTTGTTCTAACATAACACTTTTTCGCGAATCCCTTGCAAAAAATGGGACGAAGTGCACACGCGTGCGTCGTCGCGCGCGCATGCCGAAATCCTTCAAAAACCTGCGGTGCCGGAAGGATTTCGCAATCGAGTTTCCAAAAAAACATACAAACAACATATGGTTTCGTAACACTGATTTGCTAAAGAAGCTTACGCGCGAGCTCTTGCGAAATCTTAAGGAAGCCGTAGGTTTTTCAAGATTTTCACAACATGCTACCAAACGGGCGTCGCGCGCGCGCATGTCGAAATCTGTCGAACGCCCTTGCGCGTGTGCCGTCGCGAGAATCCTCTGCAAAAAATGGGACGAAGTGCAGACGCGCGCGTCGTCGCGCGCGTATGCCGAAATCCTTCAAAACCCATCGGTTTCGGAAGGATTTCAAAATCGAGATTCCCCCAAAAAAAAAACACACAAGGTTTCGCAACACGGATTTTCAACAAAAGCGTGCGCGCGCGCTCTTGCGTCGTCGTCGTCGGCGTCGTCGTCGTCGTCGCCGTCCTCCCTCCTCCCGCGTCGTCGTCGTCGTCGCCTACGTCGTCTTCTGTCCTTCCTCGTGTTCGTCGTCGTCGTCCTCTTTGGCTTCGTGGTCGTTTCCGTCGTCGTTGTCGCTGTGGTCGTCCTTCCTCCTCCTCCCTCGTCGTCGTCGTCGTCCGTCGTCGGCGTCTCGTCGTCGTCCCTCCTATTTCGTCGCCGTCGTCGTCGTCGTCGTTGTCGTCGTCGTCGTCGTCGTCGTCGTCGTCGTCGTCTTCCTCCTTCTTCGTCGTTCGCGTCGTCGCCGTACTCCCTCCTCCCTCGTCGTTGTCGTCGTTGTCGCCGTCGTCGTCCTCCCTCCTCCCTCGTCGTCGTCTTCGTTGGCGACGTCGTTGTCGTCGTCGTCGTTGTCTTCGTCGTCGTCGTCGTCGTCGTCGTCGGCGTCGTCGTCGTCGTCGGTGTCGTCGTCGGTGTCGTCGTCGTCGTTGTCGTCGTCGAAGTCGTTGGAGACGTCGTCGGTGTCGTCGTAGTCGGTGTCGGCGGCGCCGTCGTCGTCGTTGTCGCTGTCGTCGTCGGCGTCGGTGTCGTGGCCAAGTGCCATGTGGTACCTACCGTCACGGTCTTGGCTTAAGAGGTCTTGCGACCAAGGTGCGGGTGGGAGGGTGGGATGTTTGCCCGAGCAGTGGAGAGGACAGTTTCAAGACGGTCAAAGTGGATTGCACCACCTAGATTGCACCAAGTCGCTTACACCCCATGGACTGCTTACTACATACATATGTATATGTATACGTTACCACATGGCTTACACCTCACATGTTGCACCACAACGTATGCTAAAACACAGTGTTCGGGGTTTGGTTACCATAATAACTGTGTACAAATATACACGTATCTACATCTATACACACATGCGTATCCATATACACATATATGTATAGAATTATGATTATGTGTATATCATGTTCCCTCCTTACATTCTTTCTTCGTTCTGGCATATGCGAGCGGTTTGCAGCAACTGTTCTTTTCATCTTTCCCATGGCTGCGGTCATGTGTCGGTTTCCTCTGCAAGTTGTTGTTTTTTAATGTTTAATGTGTTTGTGTGTACGCTCATGCCTGCGTGCCATGCTGATTGCTGCCAGATGACGAATGCAAAAACGATGGTCCCATATGCACGGACAACGTCAAAGAAGAACCAGGAGGATTGGAATGATTCCGAGCACTGTGTTGCACAGGGCCTGAGAGCGGTGGGAGCATGCAATGCGTAGGTTAGATGCACAGATTGGATATGGGTTGAACAAACGATAAGAGCAAGAGGGGGACGAGGAAGATCGTGAAGAAGTTTACGTCTGCAGCCGATCAGGCCCAAGCCCGAGCACTAGTTTGGCACAGACCCACTCCCCTCTAGCCAATGGGAAAGCACCGCAACAAGGCGCCCCCGGCTTGGGTAGTTGTTGCAACGACGTCGGGAGACATAGGACAGTTCATGTACAGCATGTGAATGAAATTATAAAACTAGTCTGACAGCAGGTGCACCACGGAAATGTCTTATCCCCCGATGGCATTGGGAATTCGCAGAAGTGTTCGGGCACCTCGGGAAGCTCAGAGATCGTCGACGAACGTGCCCAGTGATTTTTCAGGGATGCCCTATCGTATGTGTCTACTGTGTCGCGAACAGGTGAGGCACTGTTGACAGGAAGAAAGCCGATTCTATCAGTTTTGCGGCGGGCACTCGCGATGTCTTCTTCGCCCGTCAGGCTTCGCTCGCGATGTCTTCTTGCCCGCACGACTCGCTGATCTATTTCCCCAACACGTGCAAGTTCGCCCTCATACACACTTGCGTACTCAATACGGCAATTCACGATGCGATGCGAGTGCACGCAGCGTGGAGCCCGCTCCGCTCTCCCTCCGATCTGCGCCTCATCGCCAGCACTACCCTTTGCCTCGCAAATCCCACTGAAACACAGCAGGCTTCCTGTGAGTCCCATCCCCAGCTGACCTGGCCATTGCGCTGCGCGCCCAGAGTTGCCCAGGAGGGTCGCGTGCGTTCTTCGCCAGGTTGTTCCGCGGTTTGCGCCGGTTGATCAGATTCCTTGGTGAAATCGCTTCTGGCCTGTCTACGCAGCACGATCTCGCTAAAGGGGCGGGCTTGCTTCCGCACTCACCTCGCGAGGTGCCGCAGGGGCCGTGCATTGGCGAGGAAAGCTGATCTGGTCGTGCTTGATCTGCCCAGCATGAATTATTTGAAATGTGCAAGGGTACGCACGTCACGGATATCTATACAGTAGAGAGATAGGTATGGCTATTGGCAGTAGTAGGCGGTCAACATATAAGTGCCGCAGTGATATGAGATTGACACCCTGCTTGTGTACTGCTGGGGATTTAGAGACGTCGCATGCTGGATAGGCCGCGGCGACGGCAGGTGCAACAGGCGGCGGCACTGGCGAGCGTGCATCATTCCAGTGAGCTCAGCTCGTGGAGTTGCAGCTGCGAGTGATTCAGTGCGCTTCTGCTCCTGAGAGGGTTGTCGTGCGGGCACCCGTCGGCCATCCGAGACGGCCAGCCCAGATACATTGCAGCGCCCAGCGGCAGGTGAAGTAACGAGAGGCACAAGGCGTCTCCAAGCGGTACTCGTCGTCCTCCTCCTCCCCTCGACTCCACTCGCACCCATGAGCTGCACCGTCTTGCTCAGACTGCACCTGAGGTTTCGACCGATGCGGCGGGTTTTCACTGAAGCTCATGTCTCCAACTTGATTTGCTTATCGTTTCCTCATCTCCCGTCGGCGTCCCCCAATTGTCAAGAGAGGATGGCCTCAGCAGGGCAGGGCAGGGAAAAGGGGGCAGCCTGAGCTCGAGAAGAAAAGTCAAGGACGCGCGCCGCAACCGTGCAGCTCACGGCCTCTCCAACGATTTCCAGTGACACGACTTGCAGAGTTCCAGCGGCAGCCTGCAGGGTTCATTCCCATTCGATCGATCCGATTCCGACATTCCGACGATCCGATGAGGCCCGATGCTTGCACGGCGTTGCTGTACATCTCAGCGCAGCCGATCCCGTTTGGGCCAATGCAGCCCGATCCGACGCACGTTCCGATTCGGCGCGATTCGCCGATCCGATGTCCCGATTCGATATCGACTGGTCTTGGCCTTTTCGCCTCCCCGCGAAGCAAAAGCCCCCGACAGCCCCTGAAGCAGTGCCGGCGCGCAAGTCGACAGCCGTCGCGCGGGCAGCGAGGACGCTGAAGACCTCCAAGGGACCCCACGGCCCGGCGCGCCCTTGCGCAACGCGTGGAGAAGGTTTCGGAGCTCGCTTTCCCAGCCCCTCCTCGTCCCTCCTCCTCCTCCTCCTCCTCCTCCTCCTCCTCCTCCTCCTCCTCCTCCTCCTCCTCCTCCTCCTCCTCCTCCTCCTCCTCCTCCTCTTCCTCCTCCTCCCACGAGGAGGAGGAGGGGGAGGCACGAGGAGGAGGAGGGGGAGGAGGAGGAGGAGGAGGAGGAGGAGGAGGAGGAGGAGGAGGAGGAGGAGGCGGAGGAGGAGGAGGAGGCTTCGGAGCTCGCTTTCCCACGAGAGGCCTGCCGTGTCGTGAGGTCGCGCTGATCCTCGGGTGGGAGGCGTCCTTTCCAGGGTGCAGCCGTCGCCTTTGCCGCCACCGCCGGGCTGCCCGTTGCCAAGAAGAAGCGGAGGGAAAGGACGACACAACGACGGCCATGACGACGACGACGACGACGACGACGACGACCACGACAGCGAAGATGACGAAGACGACAACGACCACCACCACCACCACCAAAACGACCACCACCACGACGACGACGACGACGACGACGACGAGGGCGCCGACTGCGACAACGGCGACGAGGGCGGCGGCGACGACGGCCGCAGCGGCGGCGGTGGAGGAGGAGGAGGAAGGGATCTCCGTCGTTGCCCCGCAATTGGGGTCGACCATGCCAAGCCTGCTCGGTCATATCGTGCCGAGATCGAAGCTTGGATATTCACTCGAGGTCGCTTGCTTTCTGGCAGCATGTGGACGCGAGGACGGGAGAAGAGAGCAGGAGAGCAGATAGGAGAAGAATTGGCAAAGAACGGTACCATAGGGTGCTGCACTCCACAGATGACAGCGTAACACGACAGACCAGACTTTGAATTGAGAGTAGAGGAATTGAGCTCCAGATGGTAACGTGGCCTGTTATTGCAATTGTACAAAGAGAGGACAAGGAGGTAATTAACAGGTGCGTCCCCTGAAATGGTGATCCCTGTCATTGCCAACGGGGTTGAAGCGTCGGATGAAACTCAGCTCGACTCAGCAAAACAGCGCGAGTTGCGAAATCTACATGGGCTAGCTAGCATACGATGTGGTTCAATAAGAGACGCAGCCTTTGCGCGGTACAAGGTAATCAAAAGGTCACGAAGGGAACGGCAGCGCAGACAGTCAGAGTTCTAGCAGCTGGACGACGCCAGTGATAGTAATTGCAGAACAGTTTCAGTGGTCACGCATATGCCGTCAGTCGCCGTGAGATTCCATTGCGTATCTCGCTTTCTTTCTACGACAAGTGTTTCACCCCGAGCTCCACATGTCTTCGCGCTCTCGTCCAAGCGTCCGTCCGCAGAATCTGGCCGGCGCAGGACAACACCAAAAAGAGGGCTTCCGTCATCGCCAGAAAGCACCGGACAAAGGACCTGCAATCATTCCGCATAGACCGTTTGTGCAAATGCCATCCTCTATAATTGTTGACGCTTCGCGTATCCCCACCAGGTGCCCCAGTTTGCCCGATCGACACGCCCTCTGGACTTTTCCTTGCGGGCCGCTGAACAACAAGTATCCCCACCAGATTTGCAGCTGCTGCCTCTGAGAGCTGGCCCTGCCGGCCCGCGCTGCGCCCAGCAGCTAATTAGGTTTGCCCGTCGGCCCGGACACCCTTCTCGCCGCCTGCCCTCTGCTGCGCGGCCGCGACCAAAAAAAAGTATCCCCACCAGCGCCGCTGGCGCGCTCGCCCGCGGCCGCTGACTAAAAAGTATCCCCACCAGCCCATCCAGAAACGATGCCCAGTGGAGTTGAGGTGATCAGGGTAGTGGGGAAGCATGCAGAAGAACAAAGGGCGGGGAATCTGTCCGATACCCCAAGAGGGGGAGGATGGTGGAGGAGAATGAGGAGAAGGAGGAGGAGGAGGAGAAGGAGGAGGAGGGTGAAGAGGTGGAAGGAGGAAGAGACAGTGGACAAGGAGGAGGACGAGGAGGACGACGACGAGGAGGAGGAGGAGGAGGAGCAGGAGGAGAAGGGGCATCTTGGCGAGCCCAGGGCCGTCTTTGAGCGTCGTGGGTGCCTCGGGGATCCTCTTGAAGCCTCTTGGGGGCCTCTTGGGGGCCTCTTGGAGGCATCTTGGGCGCCGTTTGGAACCGTCTGGACGCCTCTTGGGACCATCTTGGGGCGCTCTTGGGAGCCTCAGGAGCGCTCTTGGGGCCATCTTGGAGGAGATCGATCAAAGAAGAGGGGTTCCCTAATTTGCCCACCCCCCCCCCCCTGGGGCCCCAAAAGTCGCCGATTTGGGCGCTCTTGGAGCGTTCTTGGGCGCTCTTGGAGCCGTCTTGGGACTCTCTTGGGTCTCTCCTGGGGCCCTCTTGGGCCATCTTGGAGCCATCTTGAGGCCTCGGATGGCCATCGGAAGCGAAAAGGCGAGAAAGCAAAAATCAGTGATCTGCCTTGGGTTTTTGAAGGATTTGGGTTTCTTGGAGGCCTCCCTGGAGGTCTCGGAGGACTCTTGAAACCGTTTTGCAACGTTCTTGGGGCCTCTTGGAGCATCTTGGGAGCCATCTTGAGGCATCGTGCGCTATCCTGAGCCATCTTGGAGCTCATCTGGGACTCTCAAGGGGCCCTCTTGGAGCCGTCTTGGGTCATACTGGACGCTCCAACGCCTCGCCGTCCCCCCTTGTCCAGGTCCAGGGGAAGGGGGAGGGGGAGGGATCAAGACCCCCTCCCCGCCCGCAAGCCGTCTCGCTCACCCCCAACCCGCCCTCCCAACACATACGTAGCACCCGAGTCTGGCCCGGGCCTGAGCATATTCAGCAGTCGTCTTTGGATGGGCAGCTACTGGGGGCCAATCCGCCGCCGCCGCCGCCGCCGCCGCCTCCGCCGCCGCCGCCGCGCCGCCGCCGCCGCTGCCGCCGCCGCCGCCGCCACGCCGCCGCCGCCAGCGCCGCCGCCGCTGCCGCCACCGCCGCCTCCGCCGCCGCCGCCGCCGCCGCCGCCGCCCCCCGCTGCCAAACCGCCGCCGCAGCCGCCGCCGCCGCCAAGTGTACTCTGTATTGTTTTTTGACAGGGATGGTGGGGGGGGCCGCATCGGGTTGGCTGCGCATGCTCCGAATCTGGAGGCAGAGTGTGTGTTTGTATTGTTTTTTACAAGGAATGGTGGGGGGGGTCGTCATGGACCCTTGTTGGCCCCCAGTCGCCTGGGGGAAGGGGTGTTTATTAATAGGGAACAGTGATCAAGACACCCTCCAGATAGCAAGCCGTCAAGCTCACTCCCACCCGCCCTCCCAATACATAAGTAACACCCGAGCCTCAGCATGTTCAGCTGTCGTCTTTGGATGGACAGCTACTAGGAACCAACACCGAGCCCATGTGCGCGACGCTGGGGCGAGGCGCGCCACGCGTGCCATGCGCGCCACGCGCGCCAGGCACCCCTGGGGCCCGAGCGTGCCAGGCACGCCTGGTGCGCCAGCTGCGTCACGTACGGGGCACATACAGAGTGTGTCAGGTGCGCCTGCGCACGTGACAGCACACATCGGGAAACATGTCGGACCCTAGCATCCCTGCCGAAAACCAATGCCATTATGTTGTCTGGTGGGCCTGCGCACAACAGGCCATACGCCACCACCCCCGCCGTCCCTGTCAGAAAAACACTTGACAATGATCGCGGGGTGGCCGCACATGATCCAGATTTAGCCGCGAGGTGCATGTGGTAGTGCGTTTTGTCAGGAATGGTAGCCCTGCGCACAGCAGGCAATGCTGACACCCCCGCCGTCCCTATCAAAAAACCATACAAAGCGCCCGCGGGCCTTACGAACATGACTCCAGATTTTGCCCCAAAGTGTACTTCGTGTTGTTTTGTTGGCAGTGATGGTGGAGGGGGCCCGCATCAGGTTGGTTGCGCATGCTCCGAATTTGGAGGCGGAGTGCGTTGTATGTTGTTTCTTCCTGGTTGGTTGCCACTCGCCTAGGGGGGGGGGCAGATTAATAGGGAACAGTGATCAGCCCTTCCCCGAAGGTGAAGGGGGTTGGAAGAGGAGCCTCCCTAGACCACCTGCGCCCAGAGGGCTGGTGGGATTTTCATGGACTTCCACTTACAAGACTCTCTTCGCAGAGTGTTGCTCCGTCGCTCGACTTGCCGAAACACGGCCTGGTCTTCTCTGGCTGTGCTCGCAGAAATCGGCGGTGGCATAGCTGTGGGTCAAACGATCGGTTGGCCGAACCAGGCATGTACTTGATCTGTCGACCCCATCGCACAGTCGGCCAGAGACAGACACGCTCCCGATGACCATTGCTTGGGACCAGATCGCTCACTCGGGTAGGCGAGTCGCCATGCGAGTTGCTTCGCGCAGCTCTTTGCTCGGCGGAGTTGGAGGCGAGTTTCTCTTCCCCAGTGGAAGCCGGCAGAGGGGCTGCGGAAGTTGCCAATAGTCGAGCAAGATCGGTTCCGATGTTTTTTAACCCTTGGTTTGAATGTTTGGTGGAGGGGGGCCATGTCCGCTATAGTCACCCGCTGAGGAGCCTCGCGTGGCCGAAGAATTGGCGCGCAGAGGTGAGCGAGGACGGAGGCAGGGTGGGAAGAACCCGTCAGAACCAGGATATCTGGGCGGCGAAAGTTGACCAGAAGAGCTGAAATTCAGGATGTCGATATTGCTCCAGTTCCCCTAGACTTCCCAAGGCGGTCGTAGATATGATTGCCAGATGCTTCCAGGTCGGCAGATACCCGAGGCAGTACACAAGGGACAATTGTACAGGTGGAAGCACCCCAGGGACGGCGAGGTCTAGCATAGATGTGCGTAAGGCGCCATTCCGCTAAGCACCCCAGGAGCCGACGAAAGCGGCGATAACTGCACAGGCGGAAGAAGCCCCAGCAACGGGGAGGTCTAGTCTGGGTCTGCGTAAGCACTCCACTGGGCCTCCCGAGAGCCAACGAAAGGGGCGAGAGTCGCGCAAATGGAAGCACTCCCAGGACGGCGAGGTCTAGTTTGGTTGTGCGTAAGTCGCCACTCCGCTGGGCCTCCCAGGAACCCACGAACGTGGCGACGGTTGCGCAAGTGGAAGCACATCCAAGGACGGCGTGGTCGAGTCTGGGTGTGCGTAAGACGCCACTTCGCTAGGCCTCCCAGGAGCCCACGAAAGTGGCGACAGTTGCGCAGGTGGAAGCACACCCAAGGACGGCGAGTTTCGGTCTGGGTGTGCGTAAGACACTACTCCGTTGGGCCTCCCAGGAGCCGACAAAAGTGGCGACAATTGCACATGTGGACGCTTCCCCAAGGACGTCGAGGTCTAGCCTGGGTGTGCGTTAGACGCCACTCCGCTGGGACGCCCAGGAGCCCACGAAAGCGGCCACAGTTGCGCAGAGGGAAGAGCCCCAGGGACGGCGAGGTCTGGTCCCCCAGGAGCCGACGAAAGTGGCGTCAGTTGCGCAGGTGGCAGCACCCCAGGGAGCCGCGAATTGGGCGGCAAGTGGGAAGTAGTACACATGCAAGCAGGACGTAGTAGGCGAGGCGAGGAGGAGGAGGAGGAGGAGGAGGAGGAGGAGGAGGAGGAGAGGGAAAAGGAAGGGAGGTTGAAGAAAGCAGTGCTATTCCAAACAGAACCCAACGCAGGAGGGTTGGGAGTAAAATGTGAAGCATAAGGAAGGAGGAGGTAGAGGCGAGAGTGGGCGGGAGGAGGTTGTGCAAGCAGCGTTCTGTTCAAAGCAAGGACCCAAGAGAAGAGGGTTCAGCCAAAGCCGTCTAGCAACATGGTTCGCAACCTTGCGCCATCAAGGGGTGTCTCGGATACATACTGCGGTCTACTATTCCCAAGCCTCCTTTGGTTGGGCCCTCATTTCCCCAACCCTCTTAGTTGTTAGTCCTCGTTTTGAGTTCGCACTATCTCCTCCCGATCCCCCCTCCTTCTCCTCCTCCCCATTATCATCCAACGTTGTGCCTCTTCCTTCTCCTCCTCCTCCCCCTCCTCCTCCTTCTCCTCCTCTTCCTGCCCCCGCCCTGTTAGGCACAACGCTTGCACGATTCGTGTCCCGCAGGGCCCCGGTTGCGGCCCCACAGACAAAGTTTGCATGCCGCATCTCGCCCAATCCAGCACATCCCTCACAGACCGCGCCCCACAGGGACATCACCTACGGGCCCAGAAATGGCGTGTTTGCCGCCCCCCGCACAATTCGGCACACCCCAAATGCGTCTCGTGCCCTACAGGGGGCTCCACCTGCTGGCCGCACAGACAACGTTCGCATGTCACCCCCCGCCAGATTCCGCACACCCCTCACACGCCTCGTGCCCAACAGAGACAACGTTCGCATGTTGTCCCCCCCCCATTTCGTCAGACCCCTCGCACGTGTTGTACAACAGTGAACTCCGTCTACGATCCCAGACCCAACGTTCGCATTTGTTCACATGCTGCCCCCAGGCCAATTCTGGCGCACCCC